CCGACCCTCCTGGGGAGGCTCTGACATTTCCTCTTCCCTGATGGAAGTGCAGCTGCTGTCAAAGGAAACCTCCCCATAGTCACTCAGTGTTCCCTTTGCTTCTCAGAGTCCCATCTGCTGCCCCTGCCCAGGAGAGCTGCTCTGCATGGGAGGAGGAGACCGAGGGAGAGGCTTTGAAGATGGGGCAGCTGGGATCCCTCTGCTTGGAGTGCTGTTTAAAGATACATGGACTTTCACGTGGGCAGGGATTATTTCATGCGTATTTCCATATGTGGGTCGCTATTTGTATAGCAATATTTCTATTTATATGTAATTCTATGTATGGATGTATGCTATGTCTATGTATATTGTTCCATTTCTGTCTATTTATTGATATTTACATATGTGTCCAGATATATAGCTCTGTGTTTGTATTCATGCAGTTGGATGGATATTTAGCTTGGCAGAGTGATATTTGTATATATACTGATATATATATATATATTTTTTAATATGTATATTTTATGTAGTATGTGATATTTAATCTATATTTACATCTGTAGATTGTTATAGTTATGTATGTATTTATATATGTGCATATACATATGTATTTAATTCTATTTAAAGATGGATGCAGGGTATAGTTGTAATTCTATTGAATTCTTAGTGTGGGGCTATTTAGAGAGGGAATGTTTATTTTTGTATTTCTATATCGGCTCTACATTTGTAGCAATAGGTAATAAATTAAGTTGTTAAACGCCTAATTGATCTTTGTGTATAGTGAGTTGTGTATAGTAGAGGTTGGCAATAAATTAAGTTTTGTTAAGTGAATTTGGTATTTGTATATTTTTACATGGACTGGTTATAATAGTCTAATAAACTCCTACTTTTTACCTAAATTGAGATTTGTATAGTTCTATATTGTCAGTGTGAGTGTAGCAATTGCAATTTGTAATAAATGACATTTTCTAACTGAAATTGATTCTCGTGTATTTGTGGCTCAGCAGTGTGGCTGTAGCAATCTGCAAGAAATGCCATTTGTCAGCTGAGATGGGTGTTCTGTGATCTCTGCTACCCAAAGCCATGAGCAGATGTAAATGCTGGAGGATTTTGGCCATGCAAATCTCCAGCCATGCCCAGCACATGCCCCACCTGCACTCAGGCTGGGCAAGGGAAGCGCAGATTTGGGCTGGCAGCAGAGCCCCACGTTGGCTCAGAACTCACTGCAGAGCCTGCTGAGAAAACTCCTGCTGAGACTCTGCTGAGAGCACAACTCCAGCTCTGTGGATATGCAGATAATTCAGTCCATGTTTGGTTCTTTACATACAAACACATACAGATATACGTAGGCAGCACTTAAAAACCTGTAACATACTCAATTATGGGAGCTGAAATGGATTTTTCTCTGTTTATATAAAGGGTCAGCAGAGTTGTGCCATTCTGTAGCCATCCTGTAACAGGCAGAGATCACTGTGTCTAAGCAGTGCAGTTGTAGCAATCCATAATAAATTTCCCTTTTAAACTGAGATTAGCTTTGGGGCACTTCTCCTTTCCATGATGAGTTACCTCATCAATGTTTGTCCCTATTTCTCCACTGATCCTGAAGCTCTGACGAGTGTAGGACAGGCCCTGGCACCCAGTTCCTCACAGGCCTGTCCAGCTGTGGGCAATAGACCTGTCTTGTCTGTGAAACATCCATCTGAGGTTATTTGTCTGAGAGCTGTGTCCATATCTAGAACCCTCTCAGTCAGCACCGTGGCTGGGGAGGGGAAAAATGTAAAGGTATTCTGGCATTTAATCCTTTTTAACACGTATTAGCACTCAGCTGTAGCCTAAACTTAGTAAGGAAAAGGACAGACTTTCTTTAGTCATGCAGTGTGGGATAAATGGTGTAGGAACAGCCACAAGCCAAGCTGCAGGAGCAGCTTCTTCTTGGTCTTAACAGGACATTGTGTACAGGAAAGCACCACCACCACCTTAATGATTCACCTCTTAGGTAAAGCCACAATGGTTCACCGTGTAAAACTACCTGGGGATGGAAATAACGAACGTCCCCGGGCTGGGGCAGAAGCCTGGGAGTCAAACACTTGGAAAAAGAGACCCGGCAAAGCCAGCCCAAGGCACAGGCACGCATTTGGCCCCAGGCAAGAGGGAGCTTGTACTGCCAGCCCGGGAAGGGACTCCAGGCAGAGGAGCTGGCCGGCGGCAGGGAGCAGCTCCTGCTGTCAGGACTCGCAGGACGCAGGAGCAGCGGGCATATCGCGGATGGACAGCGGAGCCGCTCCTGAGCCGCCAAGGTGACCCCTCCTGGGGCTGCAGTCACAGAGCAGTCACCTGTCCTGCACGCTCCCTTTGGCTTCTTGAGCTCCAACCACTCCAACAAAGCAGACCTGATCATAAATTATAAAAATTATAAGACATCAGAACTAGTTGGCCACTGCTAATAGTGGATTTTTGATTTCTTTGATTGTCTCTGCATTAGTACCATCTCTGTGTTTCCAAAGGTAGTGCTCAGCATTTAGAGCCAAGCTTTCTCTGCTTTAGCAGATTTATATACATACATATAGATATGTTTGTAATTTTATATGTTTGTAACATTCATCTGTGTGAAGAAAGGGTAACCTTAAGAAAGTGTACTTGTTTAACAACAGCATAGTTCCATAGAAATTTATTTCAAATTCTTTTCTGAGGTTCCTATACTAGAAAGACACTTTGCTAAAACTGTTAAGGATGAGAATTGCAGGGCTGGCTTAAAATATAATCCAAATTTTATTTCATTCTGTGTACTATTTCCATAAAATCTGATTAATATCCAGGAACAAAAAAGTAGAAAACTAGATTTCTCTTTTCTTCTTTTTTTTTTTTTTTTTTTTTCCTAGGAAACAAGACCCATATAATTTTGATTTTTATTTTTGAGACAGTAATCCACTGGACTAATTGACACCTTGGAACTTCTTTATCATTTACAAATACCCATGGCTCTCAGGAATAGAAAGGTTATAGGAAGGGAAGATAGCACATCTTTTAAAGCAGTGACCTGAGAGTTATTTTACATCACTTTATAATCACCTGGTTAAATACACCATTACCTAAAAACCATGTATATATGTACTTGGTACGAAGTATCAGCTGAATAAATGCTATACATAAACAAGTTCTCATCCACATTTTTTGCTAGCCTCGTGTTCTGTTCTTTCTCAGTAAAATCAGAAAGAGCTCTTTGAAAAATTAATCCATTAAAATATTGACAATCCTGAAGTTTGATTTAGGAGTGTACAAACAATAATTTTAATTGTCACCAAAGAGAAACAAAAGTGACACGTCATCTGTGGTAAACACATCTGTCATCTGTAGGATGTTGTATCGCAGTTAATATGAAGATCTCATGAATGATGGGGATAAGAGACACTGACCCTTGAGGATTCAAAGAATCATTTCACAATAATAAAAAGAGTTTATCTTGCTCACCTTAGTTATACTTAAAATGCATTTTATATGGATTAGATTTATACTGATTAAAAACTCATCACTTCTTGTATGCTGCTGAATAATTAATGCTG